ATCCTTACCATCGGGGCCAATGGACATCAAACTAAGACCGAGATTCACCGCACGCATCGTGACCTTGTGGCATCTTCCGTCACCACTAGACACGGTGGGCTTCTGCCGCCCAAGAGTGTGGTTAGCCGACCTTAAGGTTGATACACCAGCATATCACAGGTCTCAGGTTCACGTTTTCCCACATTTTGATCTCGATTTAGGGTAAATGGGCTATCATCGCCTGCAAAAGATGATTTTTCTCGAATTTCGTCCGGAACCAGGTCTCGGAGAAATCAGATCAAGCGGGCCTCATCGCCTAGTCTGGCGGTTTCTTCACTCTGCTCCTTACTTCTGGGGCGGTCTCATTCATGATCCATCATCCTGCTAGCAGTGTCTTCGGCTCAGCTCAACGGATCCCGATGCCCGATTTAGATGCGGTGATGTCTAAACTCGTGATCTCTACAATCTTGAGGCTTTTCAGCTTTCGTATCCGAATGCCACTTCCGTCGAAACCAGCCCACCGGCTTCATTGCTTTAGTCAACCGCCAAGTCAAAGCCTTTCAGGCGCAGGGAGCTCAATCACACGATGCTATAAGCTCGATCAATCGATGGGATACGACATCCAAATATGTAAGTGTTGAACGGCCCCGGTGGCGCTGCCGCGATGGCCCTAGTTTGCAGTGGAAGCCCGCGAGACAGACGTTTCGTAACCATTTCTCCTAACTGAGCGGGGTGGACCGCCTGCAGTAGCATGTCTTTGATGAACACACCAGATTGTCACATAGTTGGATTGCCATTTCAATGCATTCTAGACTCTCAGTGTCGAGAGGGAACGTTGATTGGCCAGAAATTGGATGCAATATGTAAGGGATCGCCCTGTCGGCATACCGTCGACATCTGCATTCTCAGGCTTGAGGCCTTTGGACTTTTACGTTTACGCACTGCTCCTCAAGTGATCAAGTTGCATGGAGCGCGTGCCGCCTTCATCGTGATGTGTTGTGTAGCTTGACCTATAGCACTTCCTCTTAGATCATGAGATGCAGTGCTGCACGAGGCAAGGAGCGTTCTTGTAGAGATATTTTTTCCGTGGGAAACACTGTATAAACGCTTTATGTGCTGCAGTACTCCTGCGTAGACGGGACTGCTCTAGTTTGGGGAAGTAATTGATATTCTCGCCAAGTCGGTTTCATGACACAGTTCTCAGCGAACATCTTGGGGTAATACTGTGAGCAAACAAGCTCCGACATCTTCATCATCACCTCAGTGGTACATCGAGACACCGGGCTTATCTCAAGGTCTAGTCATCATTCCAACCCCAAATGCTTTTTGTTGTAGCCTCTCAAGATGCATATACAAAGACTACTTATTATACCGACAGCCTGAACATGGTCAGCCCAGATGACCGAGGAAGCTCCAATGGTGCATGAACCTTGCCTATCACAGACCAGAAAGCCAAGCCAATGATTTTGGCTTGGGAGGATGAATGGCAGATTAACTTCATCCCATGTCTCTCTCTCTCACTCACTCACTCTGATAGAAAAGAAATTCAAAAGTCGAAATTGGGAAACTGGTTTCAGTACGTGAGGATCGTGAGAGATAAAGTCGAAGGGATGATCTAGCCACTCCAGAAGGGAAAGATAGCCTGGTTCCCAAAGACGTTGAACAACCTCGGTGCGCTGATGACCATGTTGCATATATACTGTCTCTTTGAAGGGCTGGCGATGGGGTACAATTCTGCTGCTGCTAAGAAGACTTTTCGCTCAGGGCATGGGATCATGATTTTGTCAGCTTAGGTTGAGTTGAAGATATACCCGTTGCCAGTCGACACGCACAACGACAATGGGTGTGTATAGCTTGTACAACAGCCGTATATGGAAAGATGACACACAATGGCGAGGATAAAGCTCAATATAATTTGGTCTTTTGACATTGTCAGCCATCTATCAAGCCATGTCCAGAAGTGTAAAAATGTTCTTCCTTCTCTCCCTCTCATTATCGCCCCTCTCCGACTTCATCCAACATGCTTCTCCCCCTTCTTGTCCCATCTCAAGCATCGACCATCTTGACATCCTCCTCCGTCTTCTTCACTTCCACCGCCTCCTCCTCCTCCTCAGGCTTTCTCATCAGCCAGCCCATGAGCGACCAAACAAGCTTCATAGCCTCAAGCCGCTCCTCGAGCACGAAGAAATCATACCACGGGCTCCGGCGTGCCTCAACCTGTCCCCAGCTCCTGCGGACACCATCGTGGCCGACCGTCTGCTCGGCCGCGCCCTCGAGCACCTCGAGAAGCCGTTCCGGCACGCGCACGCGCAGGACGCTAATGTGGTGGAACAGCGAGCTAATCACGTAGACGTCGTCGTACCCGACGCCCTTGACTTTTCCAATGGCCTCGTAGCGCGTCTTGCGGTCCCAGCTGGCCGAGGGCGGGCGGACCATGCGATAGTTGTCGTAGATAGACATGTTCTTGCGCGGCTTCTTAGCGGCGGGCTGGCCCCTCTCTCCGGAGCCGGAGGTAGCAGCCCCGGCAGCAGAGGCGGCGTCGTCCTTGTCGCCCTGGATGGCGTCCCGTTCGACCTCACGCCCAATGGGCCCGCCGGACCCGCCGCCCCAGCGCGGCTTCGTCGTCCACCACGCGCCGTCGCCAAACTTCTTCTCCGTCTTGCCCTCGCGCGCCCGGTGCTGGGCCGTGAGAAGAGCGGCAACGAGCTCGCGGGCCAGGTCAATGACCTCTTCGTTCTCTTTATCAAACGAGATGCTCGCGCGCGCCGAGACGGCGGCGAGGGGCCCCTCTACGATGCCCTGCCGGGCCGCTTCGCGCGTGCGAGGGGTCCGGAAGATGAAGGTGCATCCGGAGGCGAAGTACGACGTCCTCGGGGTAGCGGCGGCGGCGGCTGCTTGCGTGCGCTTGGAGAGCTGCGTTTGCGACGAAGGCGCGGGCCCGCTGGTGATATGCAGACGGGGTTCTGTCCGGGGAGCTGAGACGTTGCAGCCGAAATCATATGCTACAAGCTTGAGGAAGGCTGTTAACAAGCTCTGGCGGTACTCGCCTGGCATCGACGAGCCGGTCGAGGTGCGGAAGATGCGAGGTCGTTCCGGGGTCTTTGGGTTGTCCCGCTCGGTCCTGTCGCCGTCGGCGGTGACATCCTTGGCCTCTTGCACCTCCTCGGTATGCACATAGAGGTTCGTGGGGTCATCCCAATACGTAGTGAAGGCCTCTAGGCACCTAAAGAACTCGTATGAGTTGCCTAGGCGTGCCTGCTGCTGCCCCTTGGGCGCGGGGATGCGCCTCACGGTACGGAACGCATCCTCATTTGAGTGAGATAGCTCACGCTGACGGTCGAGAAAGGTCTGGCAGCCGGGCGACTGAACGCCATTGTTCAGAACCACTCGGGTTTCCGCGTTCTTCTCACGTGCCTCTTCAGGGGAGAGCTTGCCCCAGCCTTCAAAGTCGGGCAGGTAAGCGGAATCGGGAATGAGATCCGCTGTGGGAGCATCCGGGATGAGGTGTACCCCCAAAGCGTCGAATATGGCGGTGTTGATGTCTCCGGGGCGATAAATGTCCTGCAGGACCGATGTCAATGGCTTCTTCTGGCTCGCCGGCGTCGTCGACGGAGCATCCAGCTGAGGCCGGCTCTGTGGCAGAGTGACTGGCGTTGGAGGTGGGATATCTTTCGGGTCGATCTTGACTGCGGTGGGCAGATTTGCTAGCAAGCTATTGTTAGGATGACATACTTGATGAACACTCGAGAGTATCCGAGTGCCGCAATAGCCCTAGCAGTCCCAAGATGTGTGAGAGGCTCCCGTTTAAACCATTGGCTGAACACTGAGAAATGAAAGTTGCCGGGTGAGACGAAATTCGGGCGACAGAAAGCGGACGCCGGCCGAGACCAGGCGACCCCGCGAACGGACCGCCAAGGAAGCGGTGCCAAAGAATGGAGGTAGATCAAGCGCGGAAGGGATGGGCTCCCGTTGCAGGATCACGACAGATAACGGCATTGACGGCTTCTGTGTTTTAAGGTTGGAGTAGGATAAGCCGTGAAGGCATTGATGGAGGGTACGGTAGGATAATGTTACTTGTGAAGAAGAGGATGATGCAGAGGCAAGACGCTGCAGAGGGAACGATGAAGTAGAATGGGGTGAGGGAGAAACGGATGACAACTTGCGCTCAGCAACGAATAGGGGCGCCATCGCACAATAGACGTCTGGGAAAGGCGCCAAAAGGGTCACAAAGCATTGTCATTTTCGTCTTATTCAGAAAAAGGTAGATGAGATAATGACCGACACTGGCTGCACTCAATGAAATTGTAAACTCACCCAGGGCGGGATATGTGCCAAACATATTGGCGTAAAAGATCAAAGCTAAAATCTCCGATAGTGGTTTTTCGAGATGGCACGACTTTTTTGCTATGATTTCCCAGCAGATAGAACGTGTGATGTGAGATGAGGCGACGGGAGGGTAGGTAGAGGAAACAGGACGGGGAAGTGTGGTGGTCCGGCCGGCGATAGCACTAGGTAAAAGCGGTGGGGTCTTTTTGAGTAGGTAATAAGGTAAGGTACGGGTATACGCGACGTCGAGCGGGGTCGAAGCCTTGGTTTGCTTCGTTCGAGATACCGTTGCACAATGCAGAGCGATGTATTCAGTGCCTGTTGACAAGGTTTTGATATTTTACTGATTTGACGCCGATCAACCCTTCAGGAGCGCTGTCCAGTCGGCAAAGTCAAAAGATGACAGGTGCTGCATACGAGTAAAGAGGAAACATGTACACATTCCGACCCAGGTAGCTGGGAGGAAAAAGAAGAAGATAGTGGGACTTGGATGGTGTAGAATGTAGGAGGCCGGATGGTGAGGGGAAAGGGGATACACACAAACACCCACATACGGACGAGGAAGGGAAGGAAAGGAATCCAGAGCTCAGGAGAGCGCGCAGGGCACGCAGAGGAAGCAACAAGAAACGCAGTTGGTAGAGCATTTACGCAGGCCCCCGTTACCTGCCTGGTCAGTCTTGAGTCAATGGGGCACCTCAAGCACGAGACCCCTGGCGACGGAACTGTACTGTGAGAGCACCGCCAGACAGATCCGCATTGAATGGGAAACACACTCCAACAACGGACAACTTTGCATTCAATGGTCCGCCAAGCTCTCGCTTCAAACGGCGTCTGTCCAGATGCTGGATACCTCCTCTTTCTTTCGCCCACCGCACTTTGCCTTTAGCGGCAAATTCGTACCATTTGCTGGAGCCTGCTTCTTGCTTGTTGGAACCACAACGGAGAACACACGACCCACAACCCACAACGTATAAGTGCAACCAAATGCAGTGTTTCTGCAGGACTGCAGCTCTGTGGGCTCCATCTCCTGGGGCCTGCGCCATATCCCATAGGTCAATTGGCGCATTTCGTCTGTGTTGGTTTGGTCTTGTTCTTCGACCCTGGGACCTAATTACTACGTATGCAGATCAACCAAAGGCTGTGATTTGATGTCGTGCGAGGCGATTGGAAGGCAACAATGGCGCGAGAGGGGATTGTGATTGAGGGGCCCTGTCTAAGGGCCTTTTTCTTCGGGTTTGAGCTCCATTGAGAAGTTAGGAATGCAGATGCACAAGAGCCGAGTGTGGGAGATAGCCTTCAAGTTCCAACAGCGCCGGGCAACCCAAAGCTGAGGCCACAGTCATTCTCTCCATCTTGGCCGGTTGGGCCCGATTCTTTTCATGGCGGCATTCCGGTCCATGTTTCCGCGAGGAGCTCATCGACAACGGTGGGGAGGCAGTGGGCGGCGGGGGGCTGCCATTACCGAAATCCTGCTTAGTCACGAGCGGGATCGGAGAAACATGGCGGCACAACCTAGTGCGTGGGGCCCCCACCGACGGGACGGTATCCAACGCTCCGGGACCTGGAGCCCGGCCGCTCCGCCGCATGGTGGACCCGGCTTGATGCCATTATCCGAACAAGGACAAGACAGATCCCGACGTCATGCATTCCGCTACACGCTAGCCGCCTTATCAATTTGTTTTGTCTTGGCGTGAGGGCATGCCGTACGTATGCTGTGTAGATGCCATGAACATTTGTAGAAGTCCGGGCATGGAGTGAAAGTGTACCTACCGTTCCTCTGTTATGCATACTGAACAGAGAACGACGTCTGCCTCTTCCCTTCCTGTAAGGGTGTTGCCGGGCGGCCACTTTTGCGCGGACTTCGTTAGACTGTGGCCGTAAAGGGAGGATGGTGGTGTAGCCTCAACCAGATCATCATCCATCAGTCGGGAACATCTCAGTCAACATAGGCTACAAAATGCCCCGAAGCTGTGGTGTCTTCCTGTCCCGACCGTCCGGTGCGGGCTCCCGTGTTTCGGGGGCTGCTCTAGCGTGCAGAGCGGAGCGCCGCGACGTGAGACACCATCAACCCCAAGACAGAACTCGCGCCGAGAAGCCCTTTTCCCCTCTGTCCTCCCCTCCTCCTCCCACTCCCCCCGCCTTTCTTATGCTAAATGCACCTTCAGGCTTCTTTCATTCATTTGGTTTCAAAGATTTCCCGCGCGCCCAGGGACACACACTGGACCTGCGATCTGGGCAAACCCAGTGAAGGGGGGAAGGGGGGGGGGGGGCATATGGATAGATGGGGACCATCAATTCAACACCTCATGCTATTGCTCCTTTATTCTTTCTATCTGGGTCCCTTCATTATGCCTAAACGGCTCATTGGGTTGGAAGTTAATACCCAACATTAAGCTTACTCTCGAGCCATTTACCTGCACATCATATCAGTGACACTAGCAACCTACTGCGATCTCCGGCCAATGTCCCAACAATACCATGAGAACCTGGGCAATGGAGATAATGGGGTTTAAAGGTTCAGCGAGACTCACACACGAACACGAGAGCACTGTCACTGTCACTGTCAATGTCTGCATACGTACGCATACTTCGTTTCGGCCTACTGCAGCCAAGGGGGTGTGGGAGGAAGCAGAAAAGCCAGTGCAAATCTGCACAGCCCCTTTCTCCCTTCCCCTCCAAAGCCCAAGACTGGTGAACCCGTCCTCGAGGATTGATTGACTTTTCACGTTGTCACTCGTTCGTTCGTCCTGTCTTTTCCCCGTATAGTTAGTTGAACTAGCACGGGGACTTCTTGACTGCTGCTGTCGGCCAGCCCGTCATGTAAGAAATCCATCTGACCTTTTTCTACGACAGTAGTGTCGAACATATGTCGAACTAGTCCCACAATCCGTGGGAACCAATCGCTTTCAAGACACCACGAAGTAAGCAGTTCTCGTGAGAATCCGACGACGTGTCTATCTCTGTCCAAGACGTCGTCCTGAGTCTCTGGTGTCCGGGCCCTTGAGATATGGAGTCGCAACTTCTAACCTTCGCTACAGACGACACACCTGCAATGTGAACTACTGACGGGGTTTTGACGTCGCCCCTGCAAGAAAATGTTTGTGGTCGTCGAGTTTCACTCCTTTCTCGGTTTTATGGTTGTTCATCATTTGTTTGATGATCCGGGGATCTAGCACAGGAGGCAAAACACAACAAACACGTTATGGAGTGCACTGCAAAAAAGCGCCTCCAATATTGGGTAATGGTTACGGAGTAATGTCTCGTCATATGGGGTGTTAGGGTAGGGGGGCCAGCACGGAGGGTGAGGAAGCTCGGCCTGTGTTTGAGCCGGCCGGGGTCGTCTTCTCTCTCTTGGAGTCAGCTCATGAGTCTTGATCTTCTCTTTAAGCTTGGTGCCACTCTATTAAGCCCTATGCCCTGTTCCTCCTCCGCTGATATGCATCATCGGAAGTGAAGATCCCCCTCTTCGTTAACTTTACAAAGTTTGCATTGACCATGTCAGGAGGATTGACAGCCCGAACATGATCGACCACTTTTATGGATTCAAGACCTTGGGATAACTGTCAAACGTAAAAAGAATTCCTCACAGAACGGGCGCAACACACCCAAGAGTCTGAGCCTTGCGACGTCGAGTGGCAAAATCGGCACTATATACTCGGTGTGCGCGAAAGCGGCCGTGAGGTATTTGGGCTGTGCTGTGCAGCCTGTGCTGGTGAGCACGTTTGGAAAAGGTTGTGCACATTCTCTCATGTCGATATCCGAGACGTCGCCAACTCGACGACACCTTGTACATGGCAGTACATGGAGGGAACAACTTTATCCGTTTCCCGGCTGCTGCTTGGAAAGTTGGGGCAAAACGGCGCGCAAAATATCTGTACACTACACAGTAACACGGGTCACAGTCAGACACTTTGCCATGTTTTCCCAGGGGATACCCGTGTCAATTCAATGATCGACCGACTAGCCCCTGGGGTGTTTGACGTCTCGGTCGCTAGTGACTACCCCCGTGCAGCGTGCCTCCCCAGTGGGCAGGCCGTAGCCGGGTGCAATTGCGGGCAAGACGGGCCAAGACCATGAAAAGAGTGAAAAGAGTCTCTTGGAAACGGCTTGCGGGGTGGTCTTCGCTTTCGTAGACCAGTCTGGGAAGAGCCTGCGGGGCTGCCATCTCAAGCGTCCACTTTGGGTGGTTATGCCACGAGGTCATGGGGACCAGGGGGCTTGCTTGCAACATGTGGACATGACAGACTTAATTCACCTGTGACCATAGACCTTGAGAAGCCAGTCAAGACTGAGCAATGGTGCGGTCTTGGCGGACATGATGATGAGGAGTAGGAATTGTAGATGGCAAAGGGTCCTGAGTCTGAGAGGGTTCAGTCGTGCTCTGATAGTCCAAGTGCACAAAAGACCGAGCAGAGAGTCCCTTCAGACCTCTGTCTGCCTGTGACATCCATGCTCGCAATATGAGGTGAATCGATCAAAGTCGGGGTTTGGCCGAAGGAGGGACGGAATTTGGAGTTTGGTTGAAAGGGCCTTTGCAAGAGACGGCCAACCACGACATGAGGATGGGAGTGGTAGAGGTGTGGTAATATGTCCGCAGTTCGGTCGAAGCGTATCTAGACGACGACGACGACGACAATGATTACGACTCCGCTTCTCTTGAAGCGGCTCAATGAGGCGATGCGTCGTGCATGGTGTTTCTTGTTTCCTGCGGGCTGGTGGGCACAGGAGCGTTGGATGGTGTCTCATGCAGCCGAAAAGGGAGCGAGTTGCAACTGGGAGCCTGGGAACCAGTGAGAAGGAGCAGGAGTCGCGAATGCCACGGCAGGCCTTCTCCGGATGTGCACGACAGGCGAGAAGGGCGGGCCACTGCCCTGGGCCAGGCCAGCGGTGAGTGCGGGCCGCATATTTGTTTGAGAGATCATGGTCGAGAGGGCGTACGGAGTAGGGTAGACTGGATTCTATTTACAGACGACTTTTGACGCTGACGAGGGGGGAACTTTCGGAGAATGAGGAATGAGGGGCCAACCGCGCAGTGGGCGAGGGGGAAAGCCAAGAATGTTCCGAAGCAGCGTTGTGCGGCGTGCCGGGGTAGAGAAGTTTCGCGATGACTTCTTGGTGGTATCCGCAGGCAGGAGAAATAAACTCGAGATAGATTAATTAAATGGAGGGGTTTGGAGACGCACGCACCTGATCTGGTCTGACTTGCCCGTTGCTGTTGCCCACCCATGATTCATCTACACGTGTATTCGTTTACGTATGTGGGTTCTTGGTGTACCTTAGGCATCCGTACGCAGTAACGGGTACTTTGGATACGCAGGTACGTCAGATATAGCCCAAGTATCTCGAGTTTATTGCGCATATATTGCGTGTATGTCTGGTGGTGATGTTCCGCCGCTTCTGGTGCATGACGCCAGATAGACGAGCATGGACGTTGAAGAGCTCGGTGTTGCTGGAGACGGAGAAGTATCGTTCCGACTCTTGTTCGAAATGCAACAGTCCATAAACAAAAAGGGAGGTTCGTCGGGTTACACCCGAACAATGGCGAGAAGGACTCGCTGGCATTCGAAGTGTGCAGCAGATGGATCATGGAATTCGACAGAGCATGGAAAGTGCCAATGCCACCCCGGCAAGACGTGGAGTGTTCCCTTTCCCAGTCGGGTGCGCTGCGACTGCAACGGGAAGGCCCCATACACCACAGGGCATCTGCCACCAAGATGTCTTGCAGTTGCGGCGTTTCCAAGGCAGGCGCGCAGTTGGCCGGTTCGGCGCCACAGACGAGACTTATGCAGGGGTAACGGCCGGTACGTAGATAGGTACGTATTGACAATAGGTACTTACCTAGGTAGGTAGTGACCACCCCGTATCATCATCAACCAAGGTGAGAACTACCGGTAAGCTTGTCATTTGTAGCGCAAGTCGACAAATGGTTCTGGCATGTCTGGCATGAGATTTCAAGTGAAGCAAGGAAAACGAGGTGTGGAGGGGCCGCCAACCAACGTGTTTAGCGTTAGACTGTCACAGGCAAGCCGCAGACCGCAGACCGCAAAGGAACGGTGGACGGTGAACCCAACCACCAGTCCAATGAAGAATGTAGAGTCGAGAGCTTATTGTCCATACATTTTCCATACTATCTTCTACTTACTCTCTACACACAGGAACACCGCAAAAGAGAATACCTTTCCTGACTCCCTGGTACTCTGGCACTCTCTACACAGTAAAGTCGTTGGACAGGAACTTGTAGGTCGGTAGTGATTACTAGTGTGCTGCGTCGTGAGGCTGGGGGCCCCTGGTCTGGAACGTGCCTGGGGTTGCTTGGAGGCGGGTTCTCGTGCTTCAGGTGTGTTACAGACAGGGGGGTCGCCGTTTTTGGACTGGACACTCCATCTCTTCCTCTTCCTCCTCCTCCTCCCTCTTTCCCAGTCCCATTCCTGTCGCTGCTTCACCCTTCACAGCCGTTATTGGACAACGTTCACGTATCTGTTTCTCTCTGTCTCTCTGTCTCTCAAGGTCAGACCCCATCCCTGCAGTATCGGTTCCCATCTTGATGCGTCTACGCTTCCACTCTTATCATGATTCGTCCATCAATACCCGGGTCCCAGCGCTGCAGCAACTACGTCCTGTCACTCTCTTCCCAAAGGAACCTTCTCAGACACGGCCACCAATGCCCGTTGGATCAATCCCGCGATGCGCCCGAGAAAGAGATGTGTGTGAGACTGTGAGAGGAGAGATCCATCAAACATTGATCAATCCTTCCATGCTGCGCTGCGACAGACACCATCAATGCCCGTGCTTTGCTGCCGCTGCTGCTGCCGCTGCTGTCGCCGCCGCTTCCCTTCCTGTTATGAGAAAGAAAGAGAGTCCGTTCCACGAGTCGGTTCAAGTCGAGTCAAACAACCAACTTGAGGGAGGCTGCGTCTGGAATCGTACTAGTGTACGGATGGATACCAAAGGCCAAGGACGCAAAGCCATCTTTCAAGTTCCTGATCTTGCGAGCTTGCGGCATGCCTTGCATTTGCAGCTGGAGCGGCTGCAGACTTGCATGCCCGTCCTCGGCGCCCTGTCATGGGTTTAGTACCTTACTTGGGTTTGGTGACTTTGGTTTGGCCTGGCCTGGAGTCTGTTCTGGTCTAGTTCTGCCTCTGGTCCAGTCATGGTCTAGGGTCTGTCACTTTGGTCGTCCTCGATTAGAGTAAGGAGACGTACCCGAAGTAACGCTGTCGCTCGGCGCCTACCGCTCTTTTTCTTCCTCCTCCTTCTCCTTCTCCTCTCTGTATGGAGTTCCTCATTGTGAAGTACGGATAGCCTGTACGGTCCACGGATAACCCTACTCCCTCAAGACTCAACGGTGCTCACCTCCCCCGGTTGATGGGATACACTTCGGTCCTCAATACCACAGTACACACGCCTGTGGTCCATGCTATATCATGTAACACGCAAGTGCCTGCTTGCATGTTGCAAACCGGTGCCCGTCTCTGTTTGTGAGAGGTCCAGAAAGAGGTGTGTGTGGTCCCTGTCCCGCACGATCGGAGAGACATCCCGCGAGCCTCAGTCAAGACTCAGACCCTGCCGTACCAGTCCAAACCGGTCCATACCAAACTACTCCCGACCAGGCCCTGGCTGGTCCTCTCTTAGTCTTCCCTACCATACCTAACCATAACCTTGCCCGACCATACCTTACCCTGCCATACCCTCCTTTAGTCTCTTACACTCCCTTTACCCCGATCACCCTCCTCGTCTTCTTCCTTACCACCACCACCTTCGATTCTCTTCGTGACACCCTTCTCACGCCTTTTTCGACTTTTCATCTTCTTCGTCTCCCAACTAGCTTGGTGATTGCTTCTTTTCTATTCTCAGCGTCTTGTTTATTCGCTTCGATACCGAGAACGACTACTTCGACGACATTGACGACTTGGATCTTCGACGACACAGTCTCACCCTTGAGACTGTCTGCGCGCAGTGTTCCTTGCTTACACGTGTATTCGTCCACGGAAGAACTGACTTTCTCACGGCTCTCACGCCGTTTATGCTTCAGAAGGAACCGGTTCCTAATGAGCTTTTGCGAATCGACCTAGATGGCCGGCTAGGCTTCTCCTAGTATCAGTCTATTTTCTTCAAACCCGACTCGGGGTCCTTGTTCGGTTCTCGAAACCATTCAGTTTTTTGCGACTGGAATCGCAACATATTGCAGCAATGTCGAGTCCAAATCGGAACGCGAACCTCCCGGATGGGGCTTTCATCACGACTTTCAATGGCAAGAGGTGTACGGCGAGGCCGAGGAATGGGAATAAGTCAAAGTCGAACAACCAGCAACGTGCCTCGACGAGTACGTCTCACTCGACATCGACAACACACTCGACGACGCGATCGACACCCCCTCCGCAAGTGAGCTCGTCACCGCCTCCGCCTCCAGCAGTTGCAACGCTCGCTCCTGCTCCTCCGCCGCCGCCTCCTCCACCACCGCAAACAACACCACCGCCGCCGCCACCACCACCAGCTGTTTTGACCACTAGTTCAGCGAGTACGACGAGCTCCTCATTACCTCCTCCTCCCCCTCCCCCTCCCCCTCCTCCAGTAGTGAACACCCCATCTTCAAATCCACTGCCTCTGCAGCAGACACAAGCGCCGCCTGCTCCAGTCGTATCGAGTCCTCCTCCACCTCCGCCGCCGCCGCCGGTTCCAGCAGTATCAACGTCTTCTTCTTCTCAGCCTCCAATCGTTGACGCTGAACCGCCGGCGACGATTCCTACTTTCCAAAACATTCCCGCTATTCCTGCGCAGAGTTCTCCTCCTACTCCAGCCCAGATCTTCCCCCCCGCCTCATCTTTTTCTTCTTCCTCTTCAATACCTGCCCCAGTCGTGTTGCCACCTGTTCCAGTAACCAGCCAGACTGATGCCAACGCAGTCCCAACACCAACTCCTTCTCAAGCGCCCCCCGCTTTTTTCAGCAATATCAGCCCATCACCCTCACCTACGAGCAGCGCAGGAGCAGGCGCTGGGGCTATTGCGCCTTCGCCGCCCCTGAACCCGGGTACTGCCGCAGGCGAGGCAGGAACAGGGAACGATGCTCCTACGACCAGTCAAGCTCCTGCTTCGAGCAGCAGATCTGGGGGCGTGGCAACCCCTGTTGTGATTGCTTCGAGTGTTGTTGGTGCTGTGGCGGTAATTGGCTTGCTGGGGTTCCTGCTTTGGTTCTGGCGGAAGAGGTTGCTGAAGAAGCGTCGGAGCACGCTTCTTACTCCGTTGTCCACGGATCCCAGCTTCAGGGAAAACTCGTCATATGTCATTGACAGAGGATCTTTGGGCCCAACACCGCGCTCAGCCAAGCTCAAGGCCGCGCTTGGCTATAACTTTCAGAGATTCCGCGGCCAGTTCGGTGGATTGGTCTCACGCAACCGGGATAGCGGCTCAACAAATGACCGCGCTCAGTTTATGAATATCTCCCAGCACAGCCGAAACAGCTCATCTCTATCAAACCATGGCGGACCACGAGACGTCGTTACCACAAAGGATCGGGTCAAGGACTGGTGGGAACGGTTGACGGCGGATATGAAATTCAATTGGCGACTCCGCGGCGACAGGAATGTCGAAAAGGACCCATTCGCCTCAGCTCGCAACATGAGCGAGAGGAAAGCGGCCGCGCCAGGACAACCCGACTTCTTGACGCTTTTGGGTATGGACGACAGGGAGGTTGAACGGGAAGCTCAGAGGCGGCGAGTGAGCCGGAACCAAGGCAGCGCCGGCTCCGCCGATCACTTCCTCGGTGGCCTGGGACTGAACTTCGACAACGCTTCCGCCGACCCCTTTTCTGATATCAACGCGTTACCTCATAACTCGGCCAAGCCGGCACCACTCGCCGTGGCCAACCCGGGCAATGGCAATGACAACAATCCCTTCTCTGATGCCAATGCCATATCGGCACCCGCGGCCGCAAGAAAACCGTCATCAACGTATGTCGCTGATGTACGCCGGTCAAGAGGAACCTCTGTCGGCGGTACCACAACCAGGCCGCCAAGCGGCTCAACCTACTCTCCGCGCCTGGACTCCATGTACCGAGACTCGATGCAGAGCGTGGAGAGCTTCGCAACGAGGCGGAACAAGTTCCGATCTGATCCGTTTGACCTGGAAAGACCTGAGCTACTGGGCAGCAGTCTCGGTAGCAGTAGCGGTGGCCGGTTGACGCAGGCCAGCAGCAACTACAGCCAGGTCGGCGGAGGCGCACCGCGCGTACCCGGCAACGCTCACACGCGCGCGGACAGCTTCAGCTCAAAGTATAGCAGTGGTGTGAGCATGGACGGCTGGAGTGATCCAGGGCCAGATGTTGGGCCTTCAAGCGGACCTGGATATCGCAACGAGGGCGCCGAGAGCCCGGTTGCAGGGTACCGGGCCGGAGAGCAGAAGAAGAATGTCGTGAGGAGGCCTAGTGGAGGAAGCCAGAACAGCGTTGGCAAGGCGTTGTAAGGGGAGGGGGATTTCTTTATCATGTATTACCAAAACACATCTTTCACTACTTGTACAAACGTTGGAGATGAGGAGGGTTGAGAGAGATTGGGTCAACCACTATGTGAAGGGAACGATTTCACGCGATATGGGTAGGGGCATTTGAGGAACAGCCACGGCTGGTGATATGGTTGATATGGATATGAGAGAGATTGAGATGAGAGGGTATGATGAAGGATACCGCCCAAAAAATGAAGGGACCCTTTTATTTTCATTTGGGGACCGACTGTGGTGTATTTGGTGTTTTGGAGGAGACAGATCACAACACCCGTGTTCATGTCTTCTGAGCATCCTTTTTTTTCTTCTTTTTTCCTGTTCTCTTCCCTTCTCACGAAGCAAAAGTCAAAACTTCTTGGCCATGAGACACCCCATACTCATTCCCGGCTTCCCTGCCCAGCTTCTTATAAGCGGGTTGCGACGGCCGGGGGAGGAGCAGCACAAAGCCTGTTCCACTGTAATGGTTTTGTTAGATGAATCCTACAAAGTGAAAACTTACCCCGTTGAAATATGTCCGTATAAAACGGCCATCCGCAACATGATTTGCTGTGACATGACTGATTCCTGAATTGTTCGTTATCCTTCGGAATGTGGTAACAGTAAGGAATCAGAAATGCCTGCGTGTACTCTGTGCCCATTCCATCAAGTAATGCTAGGGTAAAACGACATGAATGGCTGCGACTTGTACGTAACCGGAGACGAGACCGGCCGTCCGGGCGCCCGGCCGGGGGTGGCCGGCAGGAAAAAGAAGCATGAATTTGGGATGCAAGTGGGCTTGTACGTACCGTACCGCCTTACCTTAGGTAATGGGCCTATCTTATTTAGGTAGTCTGAATATTACGGATACTGATAAGGAACAATTCGGTCCCGTGATGAACAGCTGGCATGAAGTGGCGCCGGCAGCTGCGCTGTTGGTCGCGAACCCCTGTCGAATCACACCACTTGCACTTCCCGTCCCGGGACATCTGTCATAGTTACGTACCTTGCCGTCTGAATGTCTGCCAGGTCAGGTAATACCTACACAGCTCATGCGTGGTTGGTGTTGTGGGTGGTGCTGACACATGGCAAGAAAGCAGCCAAAGTCAAGGAACAAGACGTAAAAGCAACCTCGCTGTGCATTGGGTAGGATTAGTTGCGTACTCCCTTAGGTAGTCCAGAGAGGTCAAACACCTAATTACCCCTCATTCGGCGGCGACCACTCAGCCGTCGACAGCTTCCAACGACGTCAAGCCCCGGGGGCAAGCCAATGCACCGTGCCCGTACACACCACACCGAGGTAACTTGGGCGTTACGTCAAAGGGTCAGTCCACCGCTGTCTACCTACCTTGGGCACCTCAAGGTAAGGTAGGGAGGCTAGGCACAGCTCAAGGTACCCAAAGATAAAGATACCAGGAAAAGAAAAGATATTCACTGCCCGCCTTCTGTATAAGAAATTCAACCTCGAACTAGCGGCACTGGCCTAACTTAGTGATCGCGAAGTGACAGAATCTCTCGCTCCTCCCCGTTGCATCAGCATCCCAATAAACGACCCCATCACGCAACAAACAACAGACTGGAGACTTTCCTCCGACTCCTCGTCCCGTCCTGCTTACGGAAATTCCTATCCACAAATACTTCCATATATCTACAGATAGACCTCGGTGTGTAACCTACGGGCCAACCCCATACCTCTGCGGCGGGACCGATCCGAACTCACCACCGTTGGCCGAAAGCTAAAAGTTGCACCGGTGACAAGCCCCGTTGTCCAACGACCTAGCTTACTCTCGGATTACCCTACTCAACCTCCTTACCGGCCACTTTCTACTCGCCTTGCCTAA